TCTATCTGCCTACAGTTAGAATACCATGGTAAGTGCTGATTTGGTTAAATCATAGATAAATATCCTATTCTTTTTCATTGCTCCTATTATTTTTAATGGTATCTCCTATATGATCATGATTAATCAGGTAATTGAATACAGTTTGCCTTTTAAATAATTCAATTAGCTTTAGTAAATTAAAAAAGTTTCCTGACACAGTTGCAACATTGAGAAGAAAAAAAACCACAAAACAGTGCTTCACAATCTGCAGTATCCTTTAAATGAAACCCTCCCGAGTGTGAAGAACATGCTAAGGTTTTACCAAATGAATGCTCTTTGTGTAGAAAAACTGATCTAAATCATGGTTTAAACTTTACAACCACTACAGTCTCTCCACTGGAGCCAACTCCTGCTGGAAACTGAGAGGGCAGAGGGGTTATCTCAGACCTATGGGGATGGCCCTTACAATGCAGCTGTAAAGGATTGCACCAGATTGACATCAACAGGAATCCCTCTCCAGACCCTGCCAGACTGGAGATTGGGTGTTTAGTTCCACTGAGAAAAGGGGAAGCCACTGGGCTTTCCATTTGCCCAGGGAACAGTCCCAAAGACCCTCAATGGTGTGTGCGTGTACAGCCTTCTCTGGGGGTGATCAAATCCTCCCCTCGCCCGGCAGGGAGGCAGCTATCCGCAGACCTCAATCACGCACCTGCCGGTTAGCAGATAAGCCCTCCATATGCGCAGGCACTCGCCCAGCTGTGGCGGAGGAGCGGTGAGCCGCCCCTTCCCTCCCCCATCCCCGCAGAACAAAGGGCGGTCATTTTCTGCTCCTCCCAGAGTCAGAAGCACGCACACGCCTTCCATCACAATTAACTCAAGAATCCGAAACACAACACAAACCCACCCGCAACATGTGCAAAATCAATGCTGTCAATAGCCAGAACGAGGCTACTGAAAAAGCAGAGCAAAACAAACCTATTCAAAGAGTAAATACTCAAAGTAACAGGGCTCTGGTCAGACACACAAGGTCAACAAATCCAAGGCAACTTCAAGTACTAGATGCCTTATGAACCAAAGATCTGGCCGTTATCCCAGGGGTTGCAAAAGTAAACGCATTCAGGGATCAGCTAATAGAAAGATCTGTAAGATAATGAGTGGGCCTGCTACTACCAAGACACAGGTGCCCCAGGTAAAGGCATTCCTATTCAATTTTTAGAAATTTCAACTTCTGCAACATGCTTCTTAAACAGAAAGCCTGCAGTCAGACAGCGAAGGAAGGAGAATTTAATACGGGAGCAGGGCAGATGAAAGAGTAAGAATCTAAATCAGAGATGCTGCCAAGGAGTCAGCAGGGATGAGAGGCAGGGCAGGGATCCTGGCTGTCTTTATGTGAAAGAATGGTGGCTCTGTGTCTTCAAGGCAGTGAGGAAACAAAAGCGAAAGGAAATGGCCTATTAAGCTCTTATAGGAGGGATTCAGATTAGTCAAATCTGTTCTGATTTAAGTAACTGAGCTGGATTGCAGAATGCTCACGATCCCTTGGATGGTGCTCAGTACAGAGAGCATCCGCACACTATAGGACTGGCCTTGCTGGGAGGCAAGAGGTGGACCGAATGACCTCTCAAGGTCCTGATTTAAATACTTCTGTATAGTCAACTCTTGGTTATCCGGCCCAAAGGAGAAGACAGTGACAAATCATCCTAAGCTGAAGATAATAAAAGTTGTATTTGCCTTTGGAATGTATGTGGTACTTAAATTAGAATGTGTCTCTCTGATGCTCCGAGAATTCACAATTCTTTGCAACAGCCACAAAGAAACCCTGACCTGGAGCTGGGAGGGTGCCCGATTTCTCCATTTTTACTTATCCTATTCCTCCTGTAAGAATGACACACAGAAGCTCCAGCTCCTTCAGTAGCTGCCCGGGAGAGAGTGATGGGCCAAGACCCTGTATGATTTGGCCTTGTTTCCAAAGGGTAATCCCATCACCCTGCAGGACCCAGGCCTGTGGCAAGCTGGACACCTTGCATCATCTACACTACAATGACTACGAATGACAGTTGAGTTTCTCAACCTTAGCAGCCACAAAAGTGAAGTTCTCGAGCTCATTGGAACAGACAAGGTCTTTGGAAGAGGAAGGTGAAATGCACAGCCATTGCTCAGACAGGAAGAAGCCAAATGCCCAGGAAATGCTGCGGTGATTCCCTGCACACAGAAGGATTTGTGGGATGGAGATGCAGAGAAGCCATGTGTAAGCTGGGGCTTGGGTCTGTGGGGGCACAGGTACTACCTTTGACTGGTAAAGATACAGAGACACTGAACACTCTGCCATCAAACTTTTTCCCCCTGTCCAAACAGACTGAGTCAGGATGAGCCTGGAGGCAAGAATTTTTCTGTTACCTGCTGTTTTTGCAGCTGGAAGATGAACCATGGAGCAGGGTGGTGCAGATGAGTACTACTGTGTCAGCATGATCTTGGCCAGTGGGGCCAGAAAAGAGGCAAAATGAAAGGAAGCCTGAGAGGCCCTTGCATCTTTCTCCCTGAGGGTGCTTTGCTCTTCACAGTGTTTTCACCCCCTATGGGGACCACAGGAAGAGTGAGCAACCATAGGAGGACAACAAAGCTTTCTTGAAGTGGCCATGCAGAGTGAGGACAGGGCAGGCCAGAAGGAAAACCAGACAGCTATGGGGAGTAACAACCTCCCTGTGGAGACAGTGAGAGACTTTCCATCTGTGGAGCCTGGTGGCACCTGCCAGGTGCCCCTTGAGGGGAAAAGAGGGCACTGAGATGTTGTTCTGTTCACAGTGCAGGCCTTAGGTTTCCTATATTAACCTGTGAGACTATGAGATCATTCCAGAATCTTAGTTTAACAGAGAGCATGCTCATGATGCTTAGGGGTGAGTGTGGGCAGGAAGAGGGAGGGCTGTTCTCCCATATACCCTGCCCTTTGGCCCCAGGGCCCACCAGAGGGAGACTGGGGCCACCGATCAGGAGCCAACCAGAGCATCTCAGCCTGTGGCTCTGGGAGTTACACTGTGCAGGGCTCAGCTTCTCCCTGCTTCGGGGGACAATTGGACATTGCAGGCAGAACACAGGTGAGTCACGTGGCTCACCGAGGGAGCCCCGCTGCCCTAAGAATTTGCCCTGTTTTGCCATTTTCTGCTCCTTAAGCAGAACTGAACTGCCTGCTTGAAATGTGGCTATTTGATCAGGATTAGAAATTCTGTTCTCTGAGCTGGGCATGATGGGGCATGTCTGTAAACCCAGTATTGCTGGCTTCAGGCCAGCCCAGGGTACATATGAAAAAGCTGTGTCCAAAAAAAATGTAGGGAAGAAGGCATTTGATTCTTTGACCACATTCGTCATACCTCAAGTCTTCATTGTCACACAAGCCTAAAGAACAGCACACTGGAGAACACCACCTAGCATCTAGAAGGTCTAGCATTGAATGGCTTGCATCTTCTCAGGGTAGAAAAAAAACATGAACAAGAAAAATAATCCCTTTAAACTAACTTTTCTATATATCAGGGTTCAGCCCTGGTAGGTGGGTAGGGTGGAGCTCATTGCATCCATTTTATAGATGAGAAATACAGAGCTGAAGCACAAGGGTTGGCAACTGTTGGGTTAAATATGGCTAAACCTAAAACCAGATCTTCACTGTGAGTTGTGGCATATGCCTGTAATCCTAGCACTTGGGGGGTGGAGGTAAGGGGAGTTAAAGGCTAGCCTCAGCTTCATAGCAAGTTCAAGACCACCTGAGATCCTTTCACAGGATGCTGAAAACCAAATCTTCCATCTCTAAGAGCAACACTTGTTACTGTTGCATATGGCTACACCCATTAGATACTTTGTCCTATGTTACCAAAAAAGCTCAGGCCTCCTAGAACTAGGCAGGTGGCCCCTGCTGTGTTTTTATTACTGGCTGATTTTGGAAGTGATGAAGTGATGGCTAAATTTTGTATAGTTCAGTTTGTTAACTCTAGGACACCTTAGGGTTCGAATCCTGACCCATCCATCCAGCTAATGGTTGTCTTTGGTTTGGTTTTCCAAGGGAGAGTCTCATAGCCCTCCTCCATCTCCCAAGTGCTGGAATCACAGGCATATACGGACAATATGTGGTGTTGAACCCAGAGTGCCATGCACACTGGACAAGCAGTCTCCAGCTAAGCTCCGTTCCCTTCCTCCCACCTCTGAGTTTCAATTCTCCATCTCTAAACAGGGGTGACAGTGTTGTTGGGGTGCTAAAGGTGATGCATGCGGAGTATGATGTGCACAGCCTAGCACACACTGATGCTCAATAAATAACAAGTATCCATGGTGATTGGCAGAACTTACAATGCACTATCACGTGCAGTAGCCGAGTGAGGCTTCAGGACAAGTCATTACAGTGATCCCTTCCTTCCAGACCATGGGTGTGAGTCTCAAGGTCATGCAACTAGAGAGCTGCGCACTAGGGCACCCTCTCAAGCCATCTGAACTCCAAGTCTCTGCTTCTCAAGCTACACAGTATTCCTTTTCCGAGGAGGAGCAGCAGGCAGAAAGCCTAGCCAGAGGAGGCCTAACTATCCCTCTTGATTTCCGTCTTCACTCTTCTTTGAAATGGGTAATTAACGTTTTCTTAGCCTTATGTAAAGTGCTGTGGGAGTCAGTGAGCATGCAGCAACCCCTTCTACGGACTAACACTTTTATGTCCTGCCCGTGTAAAACCTTGCCGGGGAGGAAGTAATACCTGCATGACCAAGGAGGCTGATGTGTGACAAGAAGCCGCCTTGAAAAGCCTGCAGATTCTATAGCTTTCTTCTAAGCTGCCATGTGCCTCAAGCCCTTGCCATAGCAAAGGGCAAAGCCACAGTACCCTAGAACTGCAGTTCAGCCAGCCAGGCTGGTGCTGACCACAATGACTGCAGACCCCACTGAAAACATGCATTGGTCACTTCACTGTGCTTTGGAGTTACTGCCACACAACCGTATCACTGCAAAAGCTGATTAATATATCTGTCAAACGCAGGGTGGGAGGCACTTACCCTGCCACAACGATCTCGAAGTCCCCATCATGGTCCACATCCGTCACTGCCACTCCATAGTTGAGCTGGGTGGGGTTGCTGTCATAGTCGGGGGGCAGAACTGAGTTGGTGACTGCAGTGAACATGGGCTCAGCCCTCTGGGATCCCCCAGTGAGAGGCAGAAGCCACAGTGGCAGCAGGAGCAAAGCCATCCTGAACATCTGAAAGCAAAAGTTACAAACTTTACTGAAAGGTCCCAGAGCTGAGCAGCCAGGCAAATCCAGTCCTCCTGAGGCCGTGGTGGTATCCCGCTCCCCCCCCGCCCCAGTTTCATAGAACTTTTTATGAGCTCCACCTCTGCTACCCTGTATAAAACTGCAACCTGCCTCTGCCACAGTGGGTACCATCCTGGTTTTTCCACTCTCTGTGGCACTTATCACTGTACTACACACAACAGAATTTACCATGCATCACACTTAGTTACTGCCTGCCGCCCTCTGCTAGAGTACAAGATCCACTTTGGCACGGATATTTGTTTTATTTACTTGATGTGCACCAAGCCAAAGACAAGGTATGCAATGAGCAGCCAGGATGTATTTGAGGAAGGAGTGAAAGAAGGAAGGAACTCCCATACTCTGGGAGAATGAAGAAGAGATCTCAATGCAGAGGTGGGGGTGAGAGGGGTCTAGAATAACAATAGAAGTGGTAAAGAATGGCCCTCCTGTGGGACATACTCCAGAGACAGTCTGACAGGTTCCCCAAGCCAAGAACCCTCCCAAGGGTTGGTGGTCATTGCCTCCAGATGAAGAGGCAGTCAAGGGATGCATTCCAGCAAGGTCTGGCGCGCAGCACATCATTCACTTCAAGAAATTAAACCATTGCATGCGTGTTTTATTATAAATTAATTATGTATAATGCATTGTATAATTCATTATAATATCTCTAACATAACTCAGGGTGTTGCCAAGCAGCCTGGGGCCATGGGAGCCAGTGGCACTCACCCAGGAGACAGTTGAGAATGGCCAGGGCGGTGGCAGAACCCCATCTGCTCTGAGCTAGAGCAAAAGACATTTGGAATGCTGAAGATAGCATCACTCTAAGACTCTGCCTTAGGCAGAGCACTGGACCTCACAGAATGTCCCGGAGACTCTCTCGGAATTCCAGAAAGCTCGTGCAGGTCTAGTCCCCCAGCAAAGCACCCTCCTGCCTTCAGAAGGCAGCTAAACCTCCTCCTGATAGAACTTGGCTGCTTGCTTGTCAGTGCATCTGGCAGCAGAGAACAAGGCTGAGCCGGACTGACATCTTAATGAGGGAAGAGCAAAGGAGATCTGAAGACTGTCTCCCCGTATGGAGACAGTTGCTCCTGCCAGCAAATGAGCTTGTGCTCCAGGTCAAGGACCCAGAGGCCAAAATGGGGGGTCCAGGCACTGCCTTTAGATCCAAACAGAATCTGAAGCCTCCCTGATGTCTTTCTGTAGAGAAATGCAGGGGCAGGGTGCCATCACAGGACAGAAACTATGTAGGGTCCAACCTTAAAGGAAGTGCTTGTAGCATGTTCAAAGTGCATGTGTTGGGAGTCAGAATACCAAATGAGATCATTCAAAATTAAGTGTCCTCTGTCTAAGACAGTGCCTTCTACTGGGATGTCTATCTCTAAAGACAACACATTATTATCAGAGTTCTGCAACACAGTAGGAGATTTGGCTGGATAAGGAAACGCAGAACCATCATTACAAGCCACCATGGGGTAGACAGAGTATTTAATAGGTGGGGTGAACATAATGAAATGTAGCATGGATCTGAAGGTCACCAGACATTTTATTTTATTGATAGTATGGCCTCTACTGAAGGGACAATAGTGAGCTCCTACTTGAAAGACTGTTCCATGCCTTTTCTTTGGGCCACCATCCAGCTCCCAAATCATGACACATTGACTTATTATTAGTTTTAAGTGCTCAGCCTTGGCTTAGCTCTTATTTTAATCTGTTTCTCTTTATCCACATTTTGCCTTGGGGGTTTTGCCTTTCTTCCTTCCTTTCCTCCTTTCTTTCTTTCTTTCTTTCTTTCTTTCTTTCTTTCTTTCTTCTTTCTTCTCTTTCCCACTGTCTCCATGTCTGGCTGGTGGCTGCCTTGTTTCTGGCCCTGGGCATGTCCCTCTCTTTCTTCCCTTTCTCTTTTCCTTCTCTCTTCTTGAGCCTAGAATTTTACTATTTATTCTGTCTGCCAGACCTGCCTATCACTCTCTCTGCCTCACTATTGGCTGTTCAGCTTTTTATTAGACAAATCAGGTGCCTTAGGCAGGCAAGGTGAAACAGCAACACATCCTTTCACAATTAAACAAATGCAACACAAACAAATGTGACACAGCTTTTACACCATCAAAGTAATTTCCACAACAAAAGACAAATCCAATTGAGTGGCCTTGGCTGGGATGAGTGATTAGTTTGTGACTCCTGCAATGAGAGTTGCCTTCTAGAAGCCAGTCAGTTCCTCCCAGGCTTTACAACTGCAATTTGGGTCATGCAGCAGGGGTCAGACCCTAGAAGGATGATGGGCTGACCTCAGCATTGTTTGAAGAGCTTGATGAGTTCCAACATCACCAGGTTCCAGCTCTCTCCTTTGAAATGTAGGTTTGGGAAGAGACCTCTAAGAAGCCTTTCTGGCTCCAAAATTCTATGGAAGGAATTTGTTAAAGGAGACAATTCAGAAGCCTCCACCCCATGTCCTTCAGCTGCTTCTGCAAACCTCATACCAGCCTGCATGGCTCCTTTCTGAGGACATTAAACACATTTTAAAGAAAACAACTTTCTAGTAGGGTCCTATAGTATTTCCCTCCAGGCTGGAGACGAGCAGACCATTAATAATGTAGATCCCAAATTTTCAGAGCAGAGTGGGCCAGTGGATGGCTTTACCTAGAGAGGTAGGCTGGGGAACCAGGCTTAGGGCTTGTGTTCCTTATGTTTAGTTCCTCTGCCATGCCAAAGGTAGCCTGTACACCCACCACTGGGGTGCTCAGGACCAGCTTTGGGACGTGAGATGGTTAAGTACTGGGCTATCCAGATGGTGGATCAGCAATCAGTGGTAGCTGTTGAGGAACTATGGTAACTACCTGTCAGGACTTGGATGGAGGCTGTCATGCTCCTCCACATCCTGCCTACTCAGAGTGGTCCACAGAGCAGCATTTAGGAGTCTATTAGAAACACAAATGTTAGGCTCCACCCTAGACTTAATAAATCAGAATATCCATTCTACACTCTTGGCTACATTGAAATCACATGGGGAGCTTTAAAAAATTCTCATGCCTGACAATGATTTCTTAGATAAGACACCAGGAGCACAGATGACAAAAGGAAAACTAGATAAGATGGGTTGTATCAAAATCAGAAACTTTTGTTCATCAACGAACACTATCCAAAGAATGAAAAGTCAACCACAAAATGGGTGTAAATATTTGCCAACCTTACATCTGATAAGATATTAATATCCATAGTATATTAATAAAACACTCTCATAACACAACAAAAAAATAAAATGAAAAAGTGGGCAAAGGGCCTGGACAGATATTTCTCCAGAGATCTGCAGATGGCCCACAAGAGCATGAAACTCCAGTAATTATATAGCAAATGCTGATCAAAACCACAATGACATATTTCACTCCCATTGGGATAACAACGACAACAATAATAAAAACCCAGAAAGCAACAGACATTGGTGATGATATGGAGGGCCTGTGGCCTGTGCATTGCTGTGTCAGAAAACAGTACAGTGGTTCCTCAAAAACCTCACGATAGAATTACTATGTGGTCTAGAAATTCCACTTCTGAGTGTGTACCCCAAAACTGAAAGAAGAAACAGATTTTTAAATACTTGTTTGTGTTTGTTTTATGCTGGGCTATCTTTTCCTTCTGACTGGGTGACAATTTGTTCCTTTTCTGTGAGAAGTGTCTCAGTGTGGCAGGGCAGCTCACATGTGGATTAATGAGCTCTGAAGGCTTGGTGGCCCACCTTGGGTGTTTTGTTCACCCAGATATGTTGAATGACTGCAGAATCTCCATCTAAACTCTCAAGTTTGGCATTTTTAAACATGTGCAGCTACTCTCAGCACTTTTTTTGGGCCATCAGCTTTGTCCATACCAACCGTGTGGCTGGGGCACACCAACTTCGCCAACTGAAGCTCTGGATATCTCTTATTGCTTGTTTAAAGTGTTGTCTTTCAGTCACTTGATAACTTTAGGATATGCATACCCTGACGGTCTGGGCAGTTTGACAGGTGTTCCTAAACGGAGCACAAGATGTGGACCTGTTGGCGTGTATGACTGTGGAGCTTTCTGCATCAAGAGAGTAATGAACTCCTTTCACAGGTCGCCTCAGGCTGTTTAACAGAAGGGTGAGAGCAAGGGCTCCTGGGAGAACTCAGAAGAAATAGATATCTGCACATCCTAGGTACATAGCAGTGGTAGTAATCACTATGGTCCAAGAAGTCCACCAGAGTGTCTGTGAGTGTCTAAGGAAACATAGCACATACAAACAATAGGATGTTACTTGGCCTTGACAGGAAAGGCAGTTCTGGCCCATGCTACAGTGTGGACAAATCCTGAAGCTAGTCTAGCAGGCAAAGTAAGGTAGTCAGTCATAGGAGGACAAATGCTGCAGGACTCCATTTGTCTGAGGTACCAGCAGTAGTCGGACACAGATGGACACAAGATAGAATGTGGTTTCTAGAAGCTGTGGGTAACTAGTGATCCATGACTGCAGAGTTTCAGAAGATGAAGGGTTCTGCTGATGGATGGGGTGAAGGAGGCCCAACACTGTGAGTTTGCACCACAGAACTGGATTTTTGGTTGTGATTAAATGGTAAATTTTATGTTCTGGATATTTTACCACAGTTTGAAAAGTGAAGATGCATGAACCTTATCTCAAGACTGACCTCATTGGCCTAGGATGGAACCTGTGCGTAAGAGTTTTAAAAGTTACCGTGTGATTTCAGTGTTGTGAAATTTGAGAAACATGGCTCTATTCTGGCGCTCTATTCCTCTCAGTCTTGAATGCGTTCATGAATCATCTGGTGTCTTGTTAAAATGCAGATTCTGGTTCAATAACTCTGCTAAAACACCCAAGATTCTGTATTTCTAGCCGGCTCCCCAGCGGCATCCATGATGCTGGTCTATAAACTACATGGTGAATAGCAAGGTTCTATGCCACAGCTCCCAGAGTCGAGAAA